TTGCATGGTTAAAAAGAAGGGCGCCGCCTACGTTGGGCACGACTTCCGCCTCATTTTTACAATTTTATAAGTAGCAGTATAGACGTGCTACTAGATTAAACAATAAATATTTCCTATAAAAAAAACGCCGCAACTTCTGTAGCTTATTCAGTTTTATCAACGTGGTCGAGCCTTGAGTAGGTGACAGCTTAATTAATTACAATCCAGACAAACTCAGCCACAGGAAGAATCTTAGATGACACACACTTTGATACTTCCATTATTCGTTTTATCATTTTATTATTTTAACGTCAATTTTATTTTTAAAATAATATTTAATTCATATACAGTATTATACATATTGCAGTAAATAATTAGGCCTATACTAGAACAATTGATAAGCATAGGGCTATATTTATTGATCTATATGAAAATACAGTTACATATTTATTTATTGAAACAGCTAACTTAAATACGATAACAATATTTACACAGGATAAATTTGGAAGTAGCTGTATACACAAATTGAATAAGCTACAGAAGTTGCGTCGTTTTTTTTATAGGAAATATTTCTTGTTATATATTGTTTTGAAATTAAACGTTTTTTACAGAGTGTGAACGAATTAAGCAGATGTATGAAAATGCATTAGAAAGTAATGTTGCAGAAAAATTAAAAAGGAAAAACAGCGAAACAGATACATCTAATGTGACACCGGCTACAAAATCACAACTACCAGCCACCTCTCTCACAGCAGCACCTGTATCTCAATCTGAGGTAAATACATATTGCAGCGTAGGCCTCTAGAACTACCGGAAGTTAATAATTCCAAATGTCTCCATTGTATTGGTCTGCATATCAGAATCACAGGTTGGGCGGGTTTTTTTCACTGTTTTACCCAATAACGTATAGTGTATAATATTTGTTCAGCATTCACATTTTTTGAGTTATATTATACCATTATGTACTTAAAAGTAAGCTAAGTAAGAGATATTGTTTTATCATTTCAAATGCTAGAGATTATGGCAATACTACATTGAATTGTGCTTCATGTGCGCGCCTAGACAATTAGTGCCAAATTAATTGTCTTAAATACAATTCACAATGGATAATGCTACGGCAAAGCGTTTTGATTACTTTCCCGTTAAGTGCGTGTGTCACTGTTGTAAAAGTGTCGTTTACTTCAAGATACCTCCATGCTTCAAGCGACAATAAGTAAGTTACAATTAAACAATGTAAATTCACAATAAACGTCTGTAAAACGTAGAAGAGTTCAGAAGTCTTGATCGGAGAGAAATTATGAATATCTATGAGAGAGCTGTGGAGAGATTTCAGTACTACAGAATTTCTTACTCAAGGGAAACTGACCACACATGAGGAAATAGATTTTGGTCCTAACAAATTGATGTAGAGAGGTTACATTGTCTGTGTGTCTGGAATTTACATTTGTATTGTCTGAAGTAGAGTGACAGTTAATTTTCACAAATTAATAAGCATTTGAGTACAAAAGATATGAGATTAAGTTCACGTCAGAAGCTAAATAAGAGGGAGAAGATGTAGAGTTTCTAAACGGGCATGATATGGAGCGTGTCACTTCCTCGTTTCTACAAGCTAAAAATACCTCTAGAAGCGAACCTCTGTAGGCCTATGTTCAATTTTTTCTTTCGAATGTGGAAGCAGGTAACTTACTAGTCCATTCTCAATTTAGTCCATTCTCAATTATTGGTAAAACCAATGATTTGTATAAGACTAATCATAACTTGCTGGTTAGCACCGTTTGCAACCCATGAGACGTAAGATTTTAAAGCACTTGAAAAAAATTTACATGATTTATCCATGACAGTGTGCTATCTATTTTGAGACCGAGGTATTTGTGGGCATTTATTGCATTGAGAGGTGGTCATTTAGTTTGTAGGTACGGTTGAGGTATATGCATTACTTTAGTTTTGGATGTGTTAATCTCATGCGATTTGTACTGGACCATTGACCAAGAAAGTCGAGGTCTTCTTAAAATGTTGAAACAAAATGTTGAAACATCTCTACAACTGTTATTAGGTCGATAAATTAAGGCATCGTCTGCAAAGAAAACACATGGTGACTTTTAAAAATGAAAGGTAATTCGTTCACAAAAAGATTGTTTGCCCAGTTCGCCCTGAGGCGATAGTCAGGATGAGAATTAAAAAGTAAAATGTTGACCATTTTTCCAACAATCATAATATACTTACTTTCATTGACTCTTATTTTGAACGTTACCACTAGGACATTGTTTAAATCCACACTAGCCTATATATTACACTTTTACACTGATTGTACTGTAGGCCCTACACATTCCTGTTACATTATGGTCATTTCTATAGAGCATGATAAGGTGCATGACAAACGTTACGTAACCACTACTCATTCGGAGTCGCTCAGCTCAGTCGTACCATGGAGGAAATATATTAATATATTTCCTCCATGGTCGTACCATAGAGAAAATAGTTCTCTATGGTCGTACAGTACATGCGTCTATCTTGGCATTGACACTGTGTGTTTTTAGTATTGTTTTAAAGTATAAACTATCAGACATTCCCATGAACAACAAAACGAATGAAAATTTATTTGGAGTAACTACCGGTATTGTTTTCAGCAACAGTGGCGTATTCAAGATTTAAGAAAGGTGGGAAATTTATGAAAACTACCAATCCATCCACCTCAGCCCACCATGGTTGAGGCTGATGTGAAGGGGGACTTGGTTTTTTTCAACCTCTGAGGACCCCCCTCCCTGGATATGCCACTGCAGCAATATCTTCATTGTCTCTATCTCTCTTTATCGGGCACATCCGGTTAATGGTGGGCAAGTTATAACTTTTTTATGTCTGTTCTCCACAAATCTCTGTTGAGGAATGTACTGCCGCTGTGTGTTTAGATCCTTTTGTAATTGCGCTCTATGTATGTAGTCGGGGCCGTCCTTACTTCCTTTTCCCATGGATTGGTTCCCAAAAGAGAACCCTTTAAATAACTTCATTTCTACTTTTGTAGCAATGTCATGGCCAGCAAATGCTTACCTTCGTGTCCTCAAGGTTCTTGATACAGGGAGAATATCTCCATACAGGTCTTTATTTGTAATATGTTGTTTATCATTGATATTCAAGGCGTGTCAGAGTAATCTTGTACAACAACCACCAAGTCCTCTCTCTCAAGGATATGTTCGTTTATCTTTTTATAGAAATTCCGTAATAAGTAATATCTGTTTTAAAACCCTAGGTCACCTGAGTTTAGAGGATTCCCCCATGCAGTGGCGGATTCAAAAGGGGAATCCAGTCTGTCCGGGCCCTCGTAAATATTTCGAAATTATTTTTAAAGAATGGAGAAAAAAACTAAAAATTATATTAAAATGCTGTGGCGACGTAATCCTTATTTCTTATGTGTCTATCTGAAGGTCCCTCTCTGGGCACCCCCTATTTCGAATTTTTAGATCCGCCACTGCAAGGGCCACCCTATCTGAGCGAAGGTCAGGGAAAATCATGGATCCGCACCTGCCTAGAACACTGCACTGAGGTACTCCAGGCATTTTCTCAGAAGATGCTCCACAAGTGCTGGCCAGTATAAATTAGTCTCTGTTGTCTTTTGTCAGTAGAGTTTGATAAGAAGCCTTCGATTACGTTTACTTTGATTGATACACATGTAATTTCAAAATCACTATCCAATGATATACTATACGTGTAGGGTATAGATATGTAAGTGTATACATACTCCACCACCCTCGAATGGCATCTTTCCTGAATATTACAAAGTTTTCTAGTAGATGAGTAAATCATTATTTGTAAGCCAAGTCACAGTCTCATTACGAGTTGGATAGTAGAGAGCTGTTATATTTTTTAGCCCTCAATACTCTAGTATCAGTATGGGGCTTGGGAGTGGTAAAGCTATTATAAGAGAATAAGGGGTTTACATCTCCCTGCTATAACAAAGTTTAACATCTTTTTCATATTAATATAAATCAAAGACTATTAAGTAACATAGTTATAAACATGCAATATTTTTTTTAAATTTTTGTATACACAGCACGTCATGACGTCGAAACCAACTGGAGCAAAAGGAGGTAGGACTAATTGCTATTAGACATTATTTTAGCTGGACATTTATTTATGTTTTACGTGTTTCCTTATTTTATTCATTATGATTACAAGCCATAATTGTCACGATCACAAAAAGGGTAAAGATAAATAAACTTTAGTATACGTAAATATAACCTTTACACAATTTCGAAGAAAAGATTCCATTCGACAACAATTTCAGTAAGAAGGATGCACATATATTTAACCTAGGGGAAAGACCTGTAATATCGTACACGTTTGATCTATTATACAAACAGATACTATATTATAATTATAATAATAATTATTATTAGAGTATTATTAACATCGTCATCATCGCAATCATCATCATTATTGTTTTAAATTATTAACGTTATTATTGTTGTTTAGGTTGTCATTTACCGTCATCATCATCTACTGGTCAAAATGCATTATTACCATCTTGCATCAATATAGTCAGTAATAATAAATATTCCTATAATTGTACAGTATTTCGCCAATCAGTATTTGACTTCAAATTGCATTTCATTTTGTTTTTATATATAGTATTATTATAATCTAACATTAAATATTCTGTAATAATAAATCATAGGGCCTATTAATTATTTATTAATCGATTTGGTTGCAATGCTTGATTATTATTTAAAAGCTATTTTTTTTATCACATTATTATTATTATTATTATTATTATTATTATTATTATTATTATTATTATTACTATTATTATTATTATTATTATTATTATTATTATTATTATTATTATTATTATTATTATTATTATTATTATTATTATTATTATTATTATTATTATCGCTCAAAAGGAAACGAAACAGGCACAGGGATTACAGGGACTACCATTAGCCCAAGACAAGTATTCACATCGGAAATACAAACAAAAATTTTGAAGAGAATGACTAGGAAGACCTCAGGGACGGTTAGAAACGACGATATCACTTACATTTGGGACTTCGCTGGCCAGCAACTGTATTACATAACCCATCGAGTAAGTATATAAAGCCAAAATATTATTCGAAGGTTTGCATGGCGAAGTAATAATATAATATATTAATGCTTGCGGTACACCACGTAGATAGTTCTGAAAAGAACTGTTGTTTGAAAATGTCTCGAGTACGCTTCGATTGAGTTGCTTCAATCGTCTGCAGATATTACTCTCATGAAAACGATTGAAGCAACTCAATCGAAACGTCGAGATATTCTCGAGACATTCTCACCAACAAAAGTTCTTTTCAGAACTATCTACGTGGTGTACCGAAAGCATTAGTACCGTATGTATTATATAAAGCAATTTAAAGTCAGAAATATCTTCTTTTTTTTCATTAATCAAAATAATAATTATGGAATATCCTTTATTAATTGCAAAGCTTACACTTAAATTCATCTCTTTGAAAATTAATTACGGTAACATTTTTATATTAAATTTTCACTTTTTCGTCCAGATATTTCTAACGAGCGAGGCTGTGTATTTGATTTTGTTTAATTTAATGGAAAGTATGCATGCCAAAGGGAAGTGTAGAGTCTCCAGAATGGTAAATTTATATTTTCTCATTTGTAATTAATTATGTTACGCTTCTCGCTTTATGAAAATAAACTTTTAAATTAATAGACTGTTTAAAAGACGGGCACTCACTGCGCCCAATGATCGTCGGTCGACGCGATACTATGGAGAAACGCAACACGACGACGCGTGCGCAACGGGTCGTTTTTAATGACGATCCATTCAGACTGCCACCGAGAATCAGCAGACAGGTGGTCTGGCACATACAGGAACGGAGTTGGATTCGTCGGGCCGTACGACGCAGTGAGTGCCCGGCTTTAGTCATACTGACATCGTAGGAGCGGTTTGGCGCACCGGTTGTGCTTCTGCTTCTCAACCTTGAGGTTTGAGGTTCAATTTCTCGCTGTGTATTTGCTTGTATCCTTTACCTACGGTTGTCTCCACCCGCCAGGAGTACAAAGAGGTATCTGGTAGGTTCAAGAACAAAATTACAGCTGCAATATTATGGAATTCTCTCCAGGTACCTTAGTATATGTTCCAAATGTGCTTGATACAATGACCAGGGTTAATAATGTTAAGTGCATAGAGGTCTCTACAATGCGATACATACGTCGATTATTCAATTATTATTATTATTATTGTTGTTATTATTTTTATTATTATTATTATTATTATTATTATTATTATTATTATTATTATTATTATTATTATTGTTATCGTTATTATTATTATTATTATTATTATTAATATTATTATTATTATTGTTAATATTATTATTATCAATAATAATGAGAGTGCTCAGCTCATTTATAAATAACATAAAATATAATATTGTAATTGCCATATTTCTTCAGGCAAAAGACATGACGTACAATATGACAAATATACAGATCATAAAATATTGGATGAGGTTGATCTTTACCTATGCCGTTCCAGCTGGGTCACAATGGAAGCCTCGACAGAAAGTCAAGAAACCTCAAATTGTGGTGGTTGGCACCCACAGTGAGAGCCTGTTTGGGACCGATGAAGAAAAGAGGAAACGGGTAACATATACCGATGTCCGGTAGCTATGTTATTATAGTCTGCTAAGATTAATGCTGGCCATTATAATAATTGAATCGAATTTCACAGCCGAAATGATTGGTTAAAACTCATTCATCTTTGTTTATATTATGTTTATATTCTCCGTATTTAGATTGAAGACCAGTATAGTATCATATTCGAAGAAATCAGAGACACGCCATATGAATGCCACGTTTCGAGAAAAATGTACGCCATTGACAACAAGTATACATCGCAAAGTGCTGAGGCATTAAAATCACTTAAACAAGATGTTGGTGAATTACTGAAAGCAATGCCCAAAACGATCCCACTTAAGTGGCTTGAATTTCAATATATGCTGCAGGAGATTGGTAAGAAGTCAGTCCACATGCAATATGCTGAGGTAAATGTATTCAGTATATGCCCACTGTAGGCCTACATAGCAATGTTATGAATATTTTTGGCTCCTATTAACAATAATGTCGACACATTTACACAGTTACCCTGCAGAATGATTCTAAGATCGTAGTTCCGCGTTTATCTTGATTACTACAGCAGGCCGATTGCTAAGGTTAGATTTTCTCTGCCGTAATGTACTGGCGAGTCCTCCTCAATGTACATATTATTTTATATTTCATAGGTTTGCAAAGTTGCCACCAAATGCGGGATCTCCATGAAGAATCTCCTATACGCTCTCAAGTACTTACATGATCTTGGAATCATTTTGTACTTTGAGAAGAACGAACTGCTGAGGCATACAGTGATTACAGACCCAAGGAAGTTGATTATCATCTTCAAGAAAATTATCACAGAAGTAAAACATTATGATGAGGATAAGGTTAGATAATTTCTTTTGGATATAGCGTAAAACCTCGCATAGAAGACCAATTGGCTTAAACTCAAGAAGAAGCCCATCTCGAAAAGAAGCTCGCCTATGTAATTCCAAAGAACGGTAATCTCAAAAAGAAGCCCATCTCGAAAAGAATCCCCTCCTTAGTCTGCAAAAGTATATCGAAAATAAGATCATCTCGAAAAGAAGCCCCCCCCCCTCTTTAATTCCAAAGTACGGTAATTTAAAAAAGAAGCCCATCTCGAAAAGAATCCCCTCCTTAGTTTGCAAAAGTATCTCGAAAAGAAGATCATCGCGAAAGGGGCCCATACTTTGACTTTGATTTCATGATTATGATAGCCTGTCAGTATCAATACATTGGTTAAATAAACAAGTAAGCCCAGTCAAAAACATTTATTCTTTTATATTATATGTTAGTATCAATATTATTATCTTGTAGCATTGTAAATCCCTCACGGTTATAATCTAAATGTTTAATCAACGGGATTCCATGCATGAATTTCATCTAAAGAAGCCATTTAATGGGGGACGTGTATCTTTCGGCATGGTTGTCTAGGTTAAAGCTAAATGCGGCTAAATTAGATTGAAAATTGTTAATATAATTTATAGAAGTTACAAATGTAAACAGGTTTAATAAATTAGGCATATTATTTAGTATTTTATACAAACTATGTTATAAATACGTAATGATGGTTATTTGGTTTATTTGTGCCTGCTTTTGTCATTAAGGAAAACAAATTAAATGAGTGTATGCTCTTACAATATTCACATTTACTTCCAGTGGCCTTCAATGATCAAGCTATGGAATAAACTTGATGATGAAGGTGTACTTGAAGAAGAGTTAGCCAGACATCTCTGGAGAAATGAGCTTAGCGAAGATGAAACTTTGTTTGAGGTCTTCTTAGAATTGATGAAGCAATTTGGACTTCTTTGCGAACAAGTTAAGGTATAATTCTACATTAAAATATGTAGTAATAGGCACCTCCCATTAGGCTAAACAATATATTTTAATAGTAGGTTTAAATTGTTCAGGTACAAAAATACTGTTGCAAAGTCAATGGATTTTACAAACATACATGCATTTCAAAAGTTTAATTTGTTCAAAAAAATATACATATATAAAGAGGCCGTGGTATATAAAAGTGTACAAGATGTACGGTATGCATTAGGACATTAAATTTATATTAGAACCATAATTTATATAAAGTGTGTTTTTACATAAATCAGAAACTCTTGACTTGAGGGACACAAATATATAACAATTCTCATTAAGGTTTTAGAGTTTTTGAAGAAAGAGCTGATAGTGTTGACATCTGGAATGAAGCATGCCGGTTATACGTTATGCGTCATGTGCTGGGCAGGCTTTCAAGACATGCACTTCCACAAACTGGAAGACTGCTTGAAGAACGATTTTATCCGATGCGGAGAAAACTTGGTAATTACAAGTAAACTACAGAGGAAGTTTAAAGATCCAACAGGTACGTTATTAAATCAGCAAAAACCATTGAACATAAACAAAATATTAGCTGATTTAATTGGATTAAGTGATTTGTTGGTGTAAGACACGTAATGTTGTTTTTACCAATTTTATTCATCACAGAATCAGCAAGTTCCAGCAATAAAGAAGAAGCACCAGGTTAGCGTTTTATAAATTATTTTCAAGCCGCAGCCGTGCCGTTTTGTACGAACCCTTGATTGCGTACATGCATGTATTTTGGCAAGATACTTCATATCTTACCACGCCGTGGGTACAAGGGCGCAGATCTGTTTTGAAAGGTGGGAGGGGGACACTTCGTGAGACCACCTTAGCCCCACCATGGTTGGGGCTGAGGTGGGAACATTTGAGGAAATAGTATCTCTAGATGGCCTGAAATGACACTCTTATATATTAAAATTCATCATCATGACATCACCATTACGGTATTTATCATGATCTTTTAACAGCGATTTTCGGCAACCAGAGATTTAAGTAATATATGTGATAGACCATATTAAATAAAACTTAAAAACATTGTCTTTGATGTAAGTACTTTACTATACCTACTTCAAAGCTGTGAGTCCACACCCATTTCAGCCCCACCATGATTGGGTTTGAGGTGTGAAAATTTGAGGAAATAGTACCTCTAGATGGCCGGAAATAACACTCTTATGTAGTAAAATTCGTCATCATCACAGCACCATTGTAGTCAAAAAGAAGCACCAACACATTTCTCATTATTATTTTATCAGCGATTTTCGGCAACCATAGAGACCTAATTAATACGTGTGATGTACCATAGAAAATAAAACTTTAAAATATTGTCTTTGATGTATTTACATTACTTTACCTACTTCAAAGACGCGAGTTCACACCCACCTCAGCACTACTATTGGCTGGGTTTGAAGTGTGAAAGTTTGAGGAAACAGTATCTCAAGCTGGCCGGAAATGACACTCTTATAGTAAAAGTCATCATCATAACATCACTATCTATGATTTTCGGCTATCATAGAGATTAATTGATCTCTGTATTGTACCCTGGACAATATAATTTAATTGTCTTTGATGTATTTACTGTACATACTTCGTGTGCCAAAAATCTTATACTTTTTTTCCTACTTCTCAAATTATAACAAAAGCACGCGCACAGTTATGTATAGTAGGTAATTCAGATGTTATTGATACTGTACCGGTATCTTGCTATAATATAATATGTACAGTACTCTACTAGGCTCCAGCACTCTTTCAGTAAAACCTGCGACATTTAGGCCTATGCAGTTAATTTCAAAAACTTTCAGGCATCATCTTTACTTATGGAATTACATTGCGGTCGAATCGTGGGGGAAGGGACAACTCCCTTAAAATATGTGCCTATGGGTGGGTATAGCCACCATGGAAGAATAAGTTTAGACTAAACGTATTCCTCCATGGTATAATTATGTTGGAAGGATGTTTTGGCATTTATATATGCACAATGTACCTTACTGTAGTACGACTAGATATAGTTGCACGTTGTGTTTTTCCAATTTATTCGTAAAATTTTGTAATAGCGTTTCAAGTGCTTTCATGATTTTTCTGTAACTCTTATTACCTGTAGCCTAGGCCTATGTTTATTGTATCACTCTAATTTTCATTCAGATAGACGTCTTGGTTATTTGGAAGAAAGGGATTTGCTTCTAATCAGTAAAAACATAGGAGAGGAATTTAAGCAGCTGGGTGTCAGACTGGGCTTCAGTTGGAAAACGGTGAAGCAAATATGTTATAATCGCAAACAGTTGTTAGAGTGCACAATGGAGATGCTTACCAAATGGAGGAATCGACAGACCTCCGAGACAAATCAAGTGGAGGCAATGGCTAGAGCTTTGAAAGAACAAGGACTCACAAAACTCGCTAATAAGGTCTTCGGCTCACAAACAGCAGAGTGTCAGCCATCCAGTGTAAAGGCATACGAAGATCATGCTAGGGGAAGACCACTTATAAAGGAAAAAGAACACGATGGTCAGTAATTTATTATTAATTCAGAAATGATCAATAAGCCTAATATTTTAGAAGATATGAACGACACTGTGCTTTATTTCAATAGATATCATACTTGTCACGTTTTTGAATATCGAACTATAACACGTTTTATCGTCATTGCGGACAATCCGCATACGCTATAAAACTAAAAGAAAATGTATGCTTTTGGAGTCCGTACTGAGCCCAACAAAATCCGCAATGAAAATATAAATATATATATATTTTTTGTATTTTTCAAAGCTTTTGACTGGTAAGTGGTCAGCACCAGTGACTTTGAAAGTTTATTCTTGAAACTAATATCAGAATTTAGGCTAAAGTTTCTGGAGAAATATTACCATTATTTGTATTTGTGAATACTAATCTACATTAAGTTAGATTCTGATTGTTACTACAAAAAAACTAATATATTTTATAATAAAAGTTGGAGCCGTATTTGATGCTGACCAGGATGATGAAATGCTTTTGGCAGCTTGCCAAGCATTGACTACAAATGAAATGAGTACAGTAGCACTTTCCCTAGACTAACACAATTTATTGAGACACCTGATAAAGCTGACGAAGGCTTTTGTCTCAATAAATTTCGTTAGTCTCTAGAAGGTGCTATTGTACTTATTTCATTTGTAATATATTTTAAATACCCTCTCTCCTACATTACCTATTAACATCTTTACATGCTTATGGAACTTTGAAATAATCACAATATCATTAAAAACAATTAGTAATTACAGAGTAGTCCTCTAAAATAGATTCTTTATATATATTTTAATCTTCAATTTAGACCTATTTAGTACCAATTGTCCGTATTTGTATAGATCTGTGTCACACATACTGAATAGAGACACTAGGTCACATATCTGTTATTATTGCCAACACGAAACATTTTACTCATGTCTACTTTGTTGAACTTATCTGATATTTAAATATATGTGGGATTGTAATAGTTCGGATACCATGACAGTGACAAATTAATGCTTGTTACTGTTCTTTCAGGTCGTTTGGCTGATATTGACATGTTATTTATTGGCGAAAGGCTCGACAAAGATTGGAAAATCTTTGGCATCTATCTGGGTCTGAAACGATCTGAAATCAATCAGATTGAGTCAGATTATTCACCACCGTTGGTGGACGCCAGTCTTGAGATGTTGGTAAAGTGGCGAGAAAAGCAGGAAGATGAAGTAAATCACCTAGTAAAGATGACTGATGCTTTGAACCAACTTGAAAGAAGCGACATCATTGAAGAATTACAAACCTACTACCGTGAAAAGTATCTTAGCGCAGCGTGACAATATCTTAGCGCAGCGTGAAAGGTTTGGTTCCCAACTTTTAGGTCAGGGCTTCAATCCCTCGCTCTGCATTTCGCTTGTGTCCTTGAGCAAGGCACTTTATCTGCATTGCTTCTCTCCACCCAGGAGTATAAATGGGTGCCTGGTGGGGTTGCCTGCTCCTGCGCTGATTACAGCAGCAACACTTAAGCATGTGGATCCAATGACCAGGGACAGAAGCGCTTCGTATCTGCAAAGAA